AAAGCAAAGCTATAAATGAATGGGGTTGGGAGCTACTGTAAAGCCAACTTTTCTCGATTTGCTTCTATCAAAACATCATATCAGAGGAGATTGAATTCACAAGCAGATATGAGAATGTAGCTGTCTTCTACATTTAAGTTTAGAACAAGATTGAGAAACATCTATAGATTTTTAGAAATATGTAACAAGATTTGCAAAAATGTAAAATTATGCTACTCTGCTCACTTGAGGTGTTTTGTTTGGAAAAATAGTTATTTCTTATTGAAATGTTATTTATGTTAACTGAATTTGTTATTGGCATTTCTAAATGAATTAAGAGACTCATTTTAAAAATTGTTTTCATTTCTAATGTGGTAAATATCAGTAAATATAACCCACATAAACAGTAGGTTTTGGCAGTCCAGTTTTTTACATTGTAAATGATTCCTGAGAACGAAAGGTTTGAGACTTCTGGTGCACATTCTCCCAGCCTCAGGTGGCTCCTCTCCCTGGGCGGCATCTGTATTCCAGGCGAAGTGGGGAAGGAAGAAGGCTGGAGCAAGAAGCAGCGGCTGTGCCAGGAGAGCGAAATTCCCCCAGAAACCCCCGAGGTTAATTGTTTCACAGAGAACTTTCTTATGTTTTCACCTTTAGCTGCAGAAGTGTGAGAAAGTGAGAGCTTTGGGTTGGGCCCTGTGCTGCTCAGAACAGAGTTGGAGTTCTCTTGGTGGGATGAATATTGTCTGTTACACACAGGGGCTTTTTGTTTGTTCGTTTTGCTTTGTTTTAATGGCTGGTCCTGGTCAGAGTTTCAGGGAAATTCCTACATGAAGTTCTATTGTTTGACTCCTTTAGGCAGAATCCCAGAAACTTGCTTAGACACCTCACCTCATTGTCTTCTTGCTAATTCCTGGCTCCCGGTTCCCAGGACTTGTTTGGCCTCTGTGGGCTCGTGGCTCAGCTCTGCCCCAAAGCACATTGTGGGTTTTTTTATTGAGGAAGGTATTACATATGTGTCCTTATCCCACATTGCCCCTCACCCCCCTCGTGTCTATGTCTATCAATAAACGGTCATTTATTATTATATTAAAGTAAATAATTTAGGTTAGAAAAAAAAATACATTGTATTAGAGCCACACATGGACTTGCAAAACATTGACAGGACTGGCCAGATTGTGAAATGTCTTTATTCTTCAACAGAGCTGATTTTTATCTTTGTGATTTTGTAACTTCTTACATTAACAAAACTTTTCTCACACCTCAGACATAGTACCTATTTCCCAATCTATATATCAGTTTGTTTTCTGATTGATTGATTTGTATTGACTCACTGGTGAGCTCACTGCCACCTTTTCCATAGAAATTTAGTTTTACGGTAGTCATGCTTTATGATTTACTTTTTAAAAAATGAGTCATGATATTCACTTATACCTGAGTTTTTAAAAAATGAGTCATCATTTGTGGATTATTGTGGCCCAGGATCTGAGTGGAACTTGCCTGTGAAGTGTGGTCTGGGAACAGCAGCAGAGCTTTCCTGAGAAATGAGCAATCCCAGGGCACCTCAGACCCACCAAACCACAGCGCGCATTTTAGGATCATCCCCAAGTGACTCCAGGTGCAGCCTGAGGGGGAAAACATGAGAACATGCATGTTCAGTGTAGAAAAAAGAGCCCCCCCCCCAAAAGTCACGGGGATGCGAGCAAGCCTGGAGGTGTGTGTCTCACCGCGAGGGGGCACCTGGCGCTGTCTCTGAGGAAGGAGGGTAACAGTTTCCGTTTCCAGAAGTGAAACAGAGACTTCCATTGCTCCTTGGGTTAAAAAATGGGGGACCAATTAAGCAGTTACTGAATGAATTAAAGATTATCCTATATCATAAAAGCCTAATATGCAAATCAATGCAACAGCAGAATGATTGGTCAGCAGGGGTGGGGCCGGCAAGCAGGCAGCACCAGGCCAGCTAAGGCGGGTGCCAGCAGGCAGAGGGAAGGGATGGTGACTGGAGGGGGTGGGGGGAAGGCAGGCAGTGGCAACCTGCGGCTGCAGAGGGACAATTGGGGGGCTGGCCGCTAGCCAGCTGGTCGCCTCCCACAGAGGGAGGCCACCAGTGGAGGCGGGGCCAGCCAGCCAGTTACCTCTGGCAGAGAAAGGCCAGACTGGCTTAGGCCCGTTCCCTGCAAGGAGTGGGCCTAAACTAGGGGTGTCGAACTCAATCAGAGAAGGGGCCAAAATCTAAAATCCAGCCTAAATCGCGGGCCGAATGGTTTACTGAACAGTCATAAACTGTCATTGTGATGGAAACGCAGCGGAGTGCAGTGATGACAGCGCGGTGCGGGCCACATTGCAAGGCCTGGCGGGACGGATTTGGCCCGCGGGCCTTGTGTTTGACACATGTGGCCTAAACCATCAGTTGGACATCCCCCAGGGTTCCCAGACTGTGCACTCTCACAGGCTGGGTTTGGGCCCCTCCCACCCTGAGTGCACAAATTTTCACGCACTGGGCCTCTAGTATGAAAATAACTGGCCAAGGTTTTTATTACTTGGTTATTGAAACTTAGTTGCAGCTTGAACTGGAAGGGAGGTCTTATTCTCCTTGGATTGCCCAATTCCAGTTCTTGACATTGATGTTGGTAAACTTGCCTTCTCATTCAGAAACATGCCTGTGTGACCATAGGAGAGAATGGTGTCACTTCCTCTATCCTGATATGACTCATAGCTGTGCTTTTTTATGTCATTTTCCAGCTCTTCCCTAGTTGGCATTCCCCATCAAAACTCTTTCGAAGCAGTTCTGCGGTAATGCCATCATTGGAACAGGCCTAGGAACCACATTTATTTTTGACATATTCTGTCACTGCTGCAGCTGTTCGCATTTGGTAGTCACATAGTATATAGGATGGAATGAATGAGTAACTGAGTTGAATGAATCCTGAGATTTGCTTGCTGAAAAATAGGTCTGTCATGGTTCTGAGCTTGTTAGATTTGTCAGTAAGTCCAAATAAATGTTGCAATATTTAAGGGGGGAAAAGTCCGTTGGAAATAAATTATTAATTTCCTACCAAACAGTGGAGAAGCAATCCTAAATGTCAATAGGCTTCAGGCTTTAAAACATCTGCATCTTTTGGAGCTCGTTATTAGTTTGATTTTACCAATGCAGTTTATTGTTTTAACAAGGGAATCAAAATAAAGGCTTACATCATTAAATTTATGTCCCAAGTTCATAAGACAAAGAGCAACTTTTAACTCTCAGTCTGGATTTCTAATGTTATCTAGCTTAGCTGCTAGTCCTCTCCCCACCATAATATCCCTTCTTTATGGAATGATGAATGTCAGAGTGAATCATTGCTTTTTTTCATACCTCAGGACTTCTCTGTAGTTTCTAGCTGGTTTTAAACTGGCCATTTTTTTTTTTTGTAATGGTGATTATAATTGGTTTTGTATACAGATAATCCAAGGTGTATATTATCTTTGTTTTAATTTAGCAGATCAAATGAAAATTTAATAGTAAATCCCCAGTGGATGTGCCTTTAAGCCTGAATTCACAGCAGTACCTGTGTTTGTCCGTAGCACATTCCTGACTCGAGAATAAAACTTAAATGGTTACAGATTTACCTATTCTGTGGGCAGAGGGGCTTTTCATTCCCAGTGAGGGAATGTGTGAATAGATGATTGAATGAAATTCCTAATTAGTTTTTTAAACAGTCTTTGGAAACATATTGCCAACACTCTGAGTATACTTTGTAATTTTGTTATTTTCCTTTATAACTGTCTAATTGACTAACTTAAGACCAACAAATATTCCATTGAGACTAAACACTTAATAGCATTGTCTAGATATATTGTATTACACTTAAGAGACCTGAGCTTTGGTTTCCACTTAGGTTTATAAAATAGAGAATATAACAAAAATTGCACAGATACATTGTTGTAAAAATAAAGGAGACAGCATTGGGCAGCTCCTGTGTTGAGTGTCTGCCCCCTGGTGGCCAGTGCATGTCACAGCTACCAGTTGGAGTGTCTGCCCCCTAGTGGGCATTGTGCATCATAGGTACCAGTGGGACAGTCTAATGTAGGGGTGTCGAACTCAATCAGAGAAGGGGCCAAAATCTAAAATCCGGCCTAAATCGCGGGCCGAATGGTTTACTGAACAGTCATAAACTGTCATTGTGATGGAAACGCAGCGGAGTGCAGTGATGACAGCGCGGTGCGGGCCACATTGCAAGGCCTGGCGGGACGGATTTGGCCTGCGGGCCTTGTGTTTGACACATGTGGTCTAATGGTTGGATGGTTGCTTAGGCTTTTATATATATAGATTCCAAGCACTGGAGGTTAGGACTTCAACATATGAATGGGGGGGATGCAATTCAGTCGATAGCAATATATCTTAGGAAAGTCAACTTAAAAGCAGAAAGACCACTTAGGAAGTTATTCAAGAATTCCAAGTGAGAAATGAAGAGACCTAAACTAAGACTTTGACAATGGAAATGAAGATGAGATTGAAAGGCATTAAGGAGGAAGAATTTGATGTAAGACTGAATGTGGAGAGGGATGAGAGGGAAGAAGCTAGCCTGACTCACATTCCTCTAATTCAGGAGGAGAACAGGCTTGAGGGAATAGATGTGAGCTGTGCCATGTCCCTGTTGAGTACCAACACTTTGACAGCAAATGAACGAGGTGGCATCCGCTGTCTTGCTTTCTTTCCCCTGTTTTACAGGGTCCTCAGAATGGACCACCCCACACACATCTGAGCATGCCATTTCTTGCCTGTGACCCTCCAGGTGAATGTGTCATAAGACATTTACTGCCCTCTTGTTTTTACAGTTAATTCCAAATTCCTGGTGATTTTTTTTCCTTTAGGGCAGGGACTATTGTTTTATTCATCTTTGCCAAATTCTCCATAATATATTAGCTGACCCGGTACATAGTCGTTTGTGTTCAGCAAATTCTAGTTGAGGGAAAGATTCGTCAGTACCATTGTTGTGACTTGTTCTTTGCACATTTTAATCCCCTGTTTGGTTTTCTTGCAGAATGAGAAGACTTTGGGACATCCCATGAGTCATTCAAGTAGCATTTCTAAGGTAGAGTGCCACTGAAATATGTTATTTTTATATTTTCTCAACTTGCATGTGTTTATAGTCTTCTTTTAAAGACAAACTTGCTGTAGCTGGTTTGGCTCAGTGGATAGAATGTAGGCCTATGGGCCGAAGGGTCCCGGGTGCAATTCTGGTCAAGGATGTGTACTTTGGTTGCAGGCTCCTTCCTGGCTGGGCCCTGGTTGAGGTTCATGCAAGAGGCAACCAATTGATGTGTTTCTCTCACATCGACATTGCTTTCTGTCTTTCCCTCTCTCTTCCACACCCTCTCAAAATCAATGGGAAAATACCCTTGAGTGAAGAGAGGAAGGAAGGAAGGGAAGAAGGGAGAGAGGAAGGTAGGGAAGAAGGCAGGGAGGGAGAGAGGGAAGGGGGGCTTACAGTGTCTTAGGGACATTTTATGGGCTTGCTCGGGCCTGGGTTAGAGTTATTCTGTGTTGCTCTGTGAGGGTTTGTGCACAGGGTTTGTGAGGGGGCCTGATGCAGCGGGGGCCAGACATGGCGGGGATCTCCCTTTTCCACATCCCGCATGGAAAGAGAGAGGAACAAACCGGTTCTAAGTGGAGGCGGCCAGGGATTGAGAAATAATAGAAATAAAGAGAGAAGACACAGATATAGATTTAAAGCTGGGAGCTGGGTGGGCCGCCATCCTATCTGCTGGAGAGGAGAGGCAGGAAGACGACGACCCCTCTCAGCACATTTATTTTATACCCCAATACCAGGAGGTAACACCAACTTATTTGCATTCTTACATAGGCCCTAGCCTGCCTGGATTTACATATCTAGTCCCTCCCCTGCTGACACCTGGGCTGATATGAAGGCCAAGCTGACAACATGTCTGCCATCTTGGGGATACATGTTCCCAGGGCGTGGCTCTGCCAGGGGTCCTCAAACTTTTTAAAGTGGGGGCCAGATCACGGTCCCTCAGAGAGCTGGAGGGCCGGACTATATGAACTACTAATTCCTAGTGTAACACCTCAGCTGCGCTCACTGCCCAAAAAACCTGGCGGGCCGGATCAGACTCCTCTGCGGGCCGCATGTGGCCCGCGGGCTGTAGTTTGAAGACGCCTGGTACACCCTGAGTGCAGCTGAGGATAATAAGGAAAATGCCCTGGTGTCTTCCCAAGCGCCCTCTGTAGGTTTGGGGTTAGACGGACAGGGATTTACTAGCCATGAGACTTTGAAGAAGAGCCCTTCTCTGGGCTCTCGTTTCCTGATGAGTAAAATTAGGGCAATAATACAGCCTTCAGAGGTGGTGTGAGTGTCAGGGATAATGTTTGCCCGGAGCCGCGGGGCAGCTCTCTCAGAGCAGTGAGTCCGTGAACTGACCCTTGTTAAACGTTGTTGACCCCTGGTGATCTTACGTTCCGATTCATAACAGTTATGGAGTAACCACGAAAATAATTTTCTGGTTGGGGGTCACCACAGCGTGAGGAGCTGCATTAAAGGGTCGTGGCATCAGAAAGGCTGAGACCACTGCTCCAAGGTGAGTCCCTTGTGGGCAGTATGTAGATGGGTTGTTTTTTAATCCCTCTGTCTTTTGATTGGCACATTTAGCCCATTTACACTTAAAGTTATTACTGATAGGTGTGGCTTACTAACCTTTTGTTAACTGTTTTTGTTGTTCTCTGCCTGTCTTCTTCTCTTGATATCTTTCCTTTCCTTTGGATTTGTTGGTTTTCTGTAGTGTTTTGGTTGGGTTCCTTTCTCTTTACACAATATTTTGTGTATTTTTGTAGGTTTTGGTTTGTGGTTACAATGATATATCCATTTCTATCTTATATAGAAGTCTTTTTTAAACTGGTAGGCACGTAAGTTCAAACGAATTTTAAAAGCACTATATTTTTACTACCCCCTCCATCCTTTATGTGTTTGAGGTCATTTTAATATATTTTTTGTTTTGTGTGTCTCCTATTTATTGTAGTTATAGTTAATTTTACTAGTTTTGTCTCTGAAACTTTCTATTAGCCTTTTTTTTCTCACCCGAGGATGTATGCCCTCCTCCAGCTGCGGCCTTGCCTCAGCTGTGCTGTGAGATATGTATCTATCTATATATCTATCTATATCTATATCTATATCTATATCTATATCTATATCTATATCTATATCTATATCTATATCCTCCTCCTGCTGGGGATGTACATGGAATTATAACTCTAAAAGCCACCAAAGAGAAGATGTCAGTGTTAGTGCTACTTGCTAGGCAGAGCTGAGCGCCATTTACAGTGGAGCTCACTGGTTTTTGTGGCACGCTCCCCAGGAATCCTAGGCTGCTTATGCTTTGTGTTTACTTTGTATGTGGCGAGTTCTAATTAGCTGCCACTGTGGCTCGTTCTTGGCCCAGCCTTCATTAGAGCAGCCACAGAACTGGCCTGTCCTCCTTTAATTGTAGCTCATTTGAAGATGAATACAGTCGGGTGTTTATTTATAGAATCAGTTTCTCTTAACAAAGCTTGTTCTCACAGAGTGACTTCTGTGCTCAGCAGAATATTTCCTGAGAGGCAGCCTCAGTCCATACCTTGCGGCATCTAAACGCCAAGTGAGACTTCATTGCATGAAGCCAGGCCCGCTGAGCGCAGTGAGGGCCTGGTGTCATCTCTTGGTTTGGGAGTGGGAGGGCAGTAACATTGAACAGCCTCCTGAGTGGGAAGGAAAGTAAGGCGGTCTGATAAACAAAAATTCCAAAGTGGTCCCCAGGGATGTCCTGCCCTCCGCCCAGAACCTGCCCCTGTGAGGAGCTGCCACTCCCACGGTCACCTTATGTCGATCGAGGGGGATCCGCGAGCTCCCGGAAGCACGGGGCCTCCTGTGGCCGGGGCAGGAGGACGGCGGATTGCAGGCCGGAGTGGGCTTGAAGATGCGAGGGGTTGACTGACGGGGGATGAGGGCGGCAGATGGCTCACAGCCCCAAGGAGACTGCCCTCAGTTATAAAGGGCAAGGCGTGCCTTCTGCCAGCACCTGCATGCACGTGGACGTGTGTCCTTCCCGCAGCCTCAGAGGGGAAGCCCTGAGCGGGCCGCCCCGCCGTCAGACGGTCATCTGTGTGGTTTTGCTCCAGGGTCCGCGGTGCTGTGTCCCATGGCAATAGGAAGCTGACTGGGGCAGCCTCTGACCTCCGACCTCCACCCTCCGACCTCCCACCTCCGTGCTGACGGTGCGAGGCTCTCTTCATTGAGCCACATTCCTTTGCTTATGTTGATATGTTGTATTTTCTTTGTAGAAATACAGACTTTCAATTATTTTGACCATGACCTTTCATAAGAAAAGTAGCTTTTACGTTGAAACTAGTTCACTCACATAGAGCTGAACCAAATATTCTCTCCAAAGACTTAGTTCTTAGATGTCAGATGGACTCAGGCATTTTCTATTTTATTTTGTATGTTTTTAAATGTAGGCCATGACCTGTTTAATTGCTTTCTGGTTTTCCAGAGTTGGAAAATCATTCCGGTTGGTTGTGCTTTTGCAGTTTTATTTTACTTCCTAGACTTTCAAATGCACGTTATTTTAAAAAGCAGTTTGCACTGAGGAGGACCTGGGCATGGTCCACGTGCAATGGCGGAAAGGGGGCCTCTCCTCTCCGAGTTGCAGAGTCGGGCCTTAAGAGATGTGTACAGGTCAGGGTCACAATGCTCCCCCTCCTGGCCTCCCTCACCATCCCGGTGCTCCCCCTCCTGGCCTCCCTCACCATCCCGGTGCTCCCCCTCCTGGCCTCCCTCACCATCCCGGTGCTCCCCCTCCTGGCCTCCCTCACGATCCCGGTGCTCCCCCTCCTGGCCTCCCTCACGATCCCGGTGCTCCCCCTCCTGGCCTCCCTCACCATCCCGGTGCTCCCCCTCCTGGCCTCCCTCACCATCCTGGTGCTCCCCCTCCCTCCTCCCTCACTGTCACGGTGCTCCCCCTCCCTCCTCTCTCAACGTCCCAGTGTTCCCCCTCCTGGCCTTCCTCACCGTCCCAGTGCTCCTCCTCCTGGCCTCCCTCCTCCCTCACCATCACCGTGTTCCCCCCCCCCCCCGCCTCCCTCTTCCCTCACCGTCTCGGTGCTCCCCTCCTGGCCTCCCTACTCTCTCACCGTCATGGTGCTCCCCCTCCTGGCCTTCCTCACCGTCTCGGTGCTCCCCCTCCTGGCCTCCCTCTTCTCTCACCGTCATGGAGCTCCCCCTCCTGATCCTTCCTCACCGTCCTGGTGCTCCCCTCCTGGCCTCCCTCACCATCCCGGTGCTCCCCCTCCTGGCCTCCCTCCTCTCTCACCATCATGGTGCTCCCCCTCCTGATCCTTCCTCACCGTCCTGGTGCTCCCCTCCTGGCCTTCCTCACCGTCTCGGTGCTCCCCCTCCTGGCCTCCCTCTTCTCTCACCGTCACGGAGCTCCCCCTCCTGATCCTTCCTCACCGTCCCGGTGCTCCCCTCCTGGCCTCCCTCACCATCCCGGTGCTCCCCCTCCTGGCCTCCCTCCTCTCTCACCATCATGGTGCTCCCCCTCCTGATCCTTCCTCATCATCCCAATGCTCCCCCTCCTGGCCTCCCTCCTCTCTCACCATCATGGTGCTCCCCCTCCTGATCCTTCCTCACCGTCCCGGTGCTCCCCTCCTGGCCTCCCTCACTGTCCCGGTGCTTCCCCTCCGGGCCTCCCTCACCGGCTGGGCCCCAGGCGCCCCTCTCATGCCTCCTGGCCTTCCTCTCCACCAGCCACCCCATTAACCCTGTCCGCCCCCCGCCCCTGGCCAGTGAGGGTGTCCAGCCCTCTGTTGCCGTGTGTGTGAGGACAGAATCCTAAAGGAGGAATTGCTCCATGTGTGTGCGCATTGGTCATTCTGAGAGAAGTTGCCATTTTAGGTGACTCACCAGTTTGGTTTCCCACCAGCAATTGTAAGCACGCCTGCTTTCCACACTTTTGCAACACCGGTAGTATTTGATTTTTAAAAAACCTTTATTTGCTGATGATGTATGTCGTAGTTTTAGTTTGTATTTCTCATCATGAGACAGGCTAAGCATCTAAAGCCTTGTGCTTCCCGTTTTCCTGTGAAGTCGGTGAGCTGATGGACTGTAATTGGAGGCCAGTTGTAAGCACAAGCCCTGTCGCCTCTCACCCTCCTATCCAGCCCCTCCAGGTCCTCGTGGCTTCAGAGCAAGCGGATCAGCCAGACATGTCGGTGGCCCTGCCCGTGGGTGTGAGCGTGAAGGGCTGGGATCCAGCTGTGCGGCAGCTGTGCTGGTGAAGGAAGGGCCGGTGCAGCGAGGAAGAGGGTAGGGCGGTTGGAAGGAGCTCGGCGAGGGACTGGTGGAGGGGACGCAGGGAGTGGCCTGTCCCGCAGACCGAGAGGCTGCCGTGGGGCTGTTCCCCGGCCTCGCGTCCTCGAAGCGGGAGCAGAGAGGGAGAGTCGCCTTCCTTCCCAGGGTGGGGAAGGTTTCTTTCCTGCGTGGAAATCTAACCGTTGCGTCTGCGGGACTGGCGCACAGCGAGACAAGGTCGTGTCACTCTTAGGCAACCTAGGCCCGACAGCTTCCAGGGGTTTGTTTTGCCAAATTGATTACGACGTCTTAGGACGAGGGTTTTTGTGGAAGTGTTGGCCTGGAGATGGCTTTATGTTCCTGCCATGACAGAGCCTCCTGTCTGAGAGGCAGCCCAGAGCTGGGGAGTGAGCCGCTTCCCCCGCACGCTGGCGGCCACGCTGACAGTCTGGTCAGGAGCAGCTGGTCTGACCGTGTGCAGGGGGAGGGTGCTCTGAGGGGGTGAGCGCAGGGGTGCCTTCTCTCCGAGCCAGCACTCCCCAGCGCCCCCTGCCTGCCCTGTGCCGCTCTGCCTGCTCCGGGGCTGCCTGCCCCGAGCCTCTGGGCCGAGCTGCTGGCCCCTGCTTGACTTGACCTTGGCAGTTCGGCCCCGGAACCGTAGGTGAACTGTAGGCTTCTCTTTGTGCCGCTGCCGCAGGCGGTGTTTTAGGTCCTCGCCGAGGCTGGTAGATCTTTCTCGGCGTGAGACCAGGTGAGCTCTTCGTGGTGCTGGGCGGCGCTGGGCGGCCCCCGCAGTGGACGGCCTGAGCTCAGCCTGTGCTGCCCTCAGCTGGTGGCAGGAGCCCCGGGGGAGCGGGCTGCCTCCCAAACCCTGTGCTTCTCCCTCTTCTCACTCCCTGGAGAAGGAGCCAGGACACGGCTTTGCTGGCTTGTATTAGTTGGCTTGTAAAAGTATAGAAAGTAGATTTAAAGGTTTTCTTGAAACCTCGTGATCTAATACGAAGAGAGACTTTTTCTGTCACTGGAGCTTGTGGTTTGGACGCGCTGAGCGCGTCTGGGACGTGTGGTATGGGATAGGAGAGGATGACCGGGCAGGGCGTGGGCCCAGGGCTGCAGCCTCCTCCCAGGACACTGACCCTGGGAGGCCTCCTTCTCCAGATAAGACCCTACTTTCCTCCCAGACGATTCCTTCCCTTCAGGACGCAGGAAGCTGTACGTGGTTTCCGGAGACCACGTCCTTCCCCAACGGGGAACGTGATCCCGGGCAATTCCCTGTCTTCTGGGGAGCAGGGCATCTCCGACCCTTTAGGGGAAGGGGACGTCCTGGCCTCAGTCTGAGCCACTAACCTGACCCAGCCGCAGAGAGGAAGGAGAGCTGACCTCACGCAGTGAGGGGACAGGACGTGGATGGAGCTGGACTCTCCTGTGCTCCCTTCCTCCACAGTCTGCTGAGGGAGGCCCGGGGATGACGCTCCTCTGCAGTGCATGACCAGCCCGTGGCCTCCGTGGTGGCCTCTCTGACGACTCACTTCCCTGCAGAGCATGACCAGCCTGTGGCCTCCGTGGTGGCCTCTCTGACGACTCACTCCCCTGCAGTGCGTGACCAGCCCGTGGCCTCCGTGGTGGCCTCTCTGACGACTCACTTCCCTGCAGAGCATGACCAGCCTGTGGCCTCCGTGGTGGCCTCTGGGATGACTCACTCCCCTGCAGTGCATGACCAGCCCGTGGCCTCCGTGGTGGCCTCTCTGACGACTCACTTCCCTGCAGTGCAGTGACCAGCCCGTGGCCTCCGTGGTGGCCTCTGGGATGACTCACTCCCCTGCAGTGCAGTGGCCAGCCTGTGGCCTCCATGGTGGCCTCTGGGATGACTCACTCCCCTGCAGTGCCATAATGACCAGCCTGTGGCCTTCGTGGTGGCCTCCATGATAACTCACTTTTCTGCAGTGCATGACCAGCCTGTGGCCTCCGTGGTGCATTGCTAGCCTTGTGCACAGATGCTGAGCAGAGCTGGTCACCGTAGGAGTAAAAGAAGGGAGCGGGGCGCTCACGGAGGCTGTCTGTCTCGGGCTGGGTGAGGACTGAACGCCAGAGAACAGGCTGTTAGGAGTTGGGGACCTCCGTGTAGTGCCCCAGCCCTCCCGGGTGAGTGGCAGGAAAGGCCCTGCGCTCCTTCAGAGTGGACAGCAGAGCCTCGCCTGTCCCCGCCGGGCTGGGCGGAGGCTCCGGAGTGAGGCCTGGGGCGGCTGCCGGATTAGGCCCCGTAGGGAACACAGCAGCGTCAGGTGCACGTAGGACCTCCTTCTCCTTCAAGTCTCCAAATAAATTAAACATTAGACTCTTAAGAAAAGAATTTTCAAAGAAAATATACCCAGTGTCCATATGCACCATCTGTTTTTTTGTTTGTTTGTGTGTGTGTGTGTGTGTGTGTGTGTGTTTTTAAATATATTTTATTGATTTTTTACAGAGAGGAAGGGAGAGGGATAGAGAGCTACAAACATCAATGAGAGAGAAACATCGACCAGCTGCCTCCTGCACACCCCACACTGGGGATGTGCCCACAACCAAGGTACATACCCTTGACCAGAATCTAACCTGGGACCTTTCAGTCCACAGACTGATGGTCTATCCACTGAGCCACACCGGTTTCAGCTGCATCTTCTGTTAAAAGTCAGTGCAGATTCCCTGGCGACTCCGAGGAATGCCGCTGGCTTAGCACCCACAGGCTGACAGCAGGCACTCCCCGGAGGTCTCTTCAGGTGGCGCTGGGTTTGGCATGGTTACTCGCCATGCCCAGGGGCAAGATGTGGTCCAGTGATCGCCTCAGGTGCCGGCCGGTCCTCCAGGGGCGAGTGCAGGGGCGGAGGGCAGAGTCTCTGGATAATGGTGCTGGCTGTCTTGGTGGCTCACCCGTGTCGGAGGCTCTGTGGCTGGAGTGCCAGGGTGAGCATGCACCCCTGGGGGGCACTTAGCAAAAGTGGGGCCAGGCCTCAGCTGGAGAATTGTGGACCGGAGTGGGACTCCCCAAAGGGCCGAGGAGCAGGGCTGAGGCCACTGAGTGTCCTCGGGAAGACGGTAACGGACCACAGTACAGCTGCCCGTATCATTGGGCTCCGCATCCAGGGCTTTCTCATCTGCAGGTTTAATCAACTGAGGATTGAAAATGTTCAGGGGAAAAGCGCAGAAAGTTCCCAAAAGCAGACCGTGAATTAGCCATGCACTGAGCACCACCCTGATTCCACGCAAATGGAGGGAGTCACGTGTGGCACACCCCGCCATAGGCTTTATGCAAATACAGGTTACATGCGAACACTACACTGTCTGATACAGGGACTTGAGCGTCTGTGGGCTTCGGTACCCGTGGGGAGTCCTGGAGTTAATCCCCAGGTGCCGGGACGACTCTCTTCCGGTGGTGCGTGGGGTGATGGGGCAGGTGCTTGCCCAGTTGTCCTAAGGGGAGAAGCTGCGTTTCCGTGCAGGTGCCCGGTGCTGTGAGGGCCGGGAACTAGCAGGGCCACAGAGGCCGGAGTGGGAGGCTGCAGGACCTCCCGGGGTGTCTGTGTCCTCAGCCAGCCACACGCCCTGCTGCTCCCTCCTCCCATGTCTCCTACCGCTGTGTGTCCCCTCGCCCTCCTGGATCTTTCCTCTTACGACCTGTCAGAGCCCCTGCTCTATCTCAGGACCACCTGCTACACGTTCTTTCAAATCCAGATTTTCCCTTTTATTTCTTTTGGTTAGAACTCCTGGGACTTCTGTGTGGGCCACTGGCGAGACTGGATCTGTGGGTCGGAGGCCCTGTAGTGTCCCTCTGTGTACAGTGCTCTGGCTGGGCAGCGTTTTCGTGGCCCAGCCTTGAGGTGTGGGCAGGAGAGAGTGCCCACGGCTGCCAGCCTCCTCAGGAAACCCAGCCCTTGCCTGCGGGGAGCAGGTGCCCATTGATGCACCTGCAGCTCTTTTGCTTTTGCCACCACCTTGTAGCACGTGGTTTCCTGGGCCTGGGCATGAACTAACCCCACTCAGATGCTTAGGAAGCAAACGGCCGAGTCTTCGGATCGTGGTGTGCTCCAGTCTCACATACTGCCTGGCTGCATTTGCCCCGCATGCAGCACCATGCCATCTGCTTTGTCCTGTCTCAGCTTGTGGGGCCCTGGTTCCTGCTGCTCCCTGAGCGGGGACTGGCAGACGTCTCCGTTCAGAAGGAGCGGGCCCGCCCTCCTGCTCTCCCGGGACTGACGGGGGTGTCGTTGCAGGTCGGGGCTCCTCCGCCGGTGTCGGCTCCGGTGCACGCCTTCTCTCGCTCCTCCGTCACGCCTTCCAGCCAGGACATCTGCAGGTAACGCCTCTCCAGATGCCTCAGTGGCCATGTCACCCCAGAGTACGCGACAGTGTCTGCAGTCTCAGTGTTTATTCGCTTGGTCAGCACTGTGCTTTGCTCCGACCAGTCGGCCCAGTTCTGTGCTGTTTGCTCACCAAGTTACACGAGTCTCGTTTCTTCACCTGTATGTCTGTTCTCTTTAAAAGTGGTTTTCACTCCTGTGTTTTGTCCCACTGTTCCCCGCACGCAGTTCCAGGGCAGTGTGCTCTGCGTGCGGTCACCACCGCCCCATGCAGGCCGCCGTTGTCCTGCAGGCGGCCCGGGGCCCGCGCGCCCTGGCGCCCGGGCTCACGGTGACCGTGCTGTGTGCGGACCCGCTGCCCGCGCCCGGGAAGCCCGCCCCGAGCAGCAGAGCCAGGCGGCCCCTCAGGTTCTCCAAGTCCCTCAACGACGTGGGCGAGAAGGCCCCGGACGCCGCGGAGAGCTTTGGCTACGTGGAGAGAACCTGCTCCGAAGGGAAACTGGTGCTCCCTCAAGATCCGTGTCTCCGAACTAACAGGTTCCACCATAGACAGAAAAGAACTCTGAATCGCAAACCTCTGGGCCATTCCAAACATTCTTGCGTTTCATCGCTCTATGCGGCCCCGCCAGCTGCCTCCGAGGCGGAGGGCGGCAAGGGCGGCCTGCACGGCCCTCTGCTGGAGGAGCAGGCGGACGATGAGGCGGTCTGCGGAAGCCGGCGGCTGCTCAGGTGCCTGCTCTCCCTGTCGCGCGGCTCGAGCTTCCAGGGGCTGGAGAGCGGGGCCCGGCCGCGCAGCGCCCAGTCCTCCAGCGGGCTGGCCGGCAGCGCCGGCTTCTGCTCCGACGACATGGGCGACGACGACGTCTTCGAGGACAGCGCCTCCGCCAGGTCCAAGGGCAGGGCCCCGCGGGCGCCCCTCTGCTCCGCCGAGAAGGACAGCGACCTGGACGGCTCCTCTCCCCTCTCTGACAAATGCCCCCCCGTCTCTCCTGTGTCCGCGTCAGGGGAGGCCTGCAGGTTGGTTTGCCAAGAGCCACCACTCTGCCCGTCTCTGCTCCCGCACTTGGTAGCCTCATCTTGCTTTAATATGTGAAGTTTCAGGAAAAGGAATCGGTAGGCAGTGGTACACAATTGTGGATTAATAGTTTTCTCCAGAAGACTGGAGTGTTGATATCATTTGGAAAACCAATTTCTATGACATGGGTCTCAAGATAGTTTCACAGACGATAAAAGAGGAAGAAGCTACACATATTAAAGGTCAAGTTGACTTTGCATAAGGAGATTGGAAGGAAGAAAGTTTTCCGGCTTGATGGTCCCTCCCAGCCTCATTTACCCTCGTTCCCCCTGCAGCATGCTGTGCCTGGGGAAGGCTGTCCTTCCTCCTCTTCAACTGGGAGGCAGCCACCTCTGTCCGGGTCCCAATTCCACTGCCCCCTCCATCTCCTCCCATGGCAGTGGCCTGGGAGGAGATAGTGCCCCCAGGTCGTTCAGAATTCACTTTTTATCACCATCCGAACCTTCCCCAGCCGCCCCTGAGGGCCAGCCATGACCAGTTCTGGCAACTGGATCAGAAACTTCTGTCCCAGAACAAACAGCTGAGAGCCGGGCGGCGTCTCTGCTCCTCAGCGGCTGGGGGACCCCGTTTCTCAGAGGTCTGTTTAGTTTCTCGAGGTTAGTAGCTCATCCTGTTGCATGCACCCTGAGCCTTTCGATATGGTTTTAAGTTTCCGCTTATTGCTGTGAGTATTCCTGCAAAAAGAAATGAAACTGCAGGGGCCCCCCCCCCCCCCCCGAATGTCCCGAGTCCTGGAGAGGTGCCAGCCGTCCCTGCTCCCCCTGACGGACTGTGTGGCTGGGAGGTGCGGTCAGTGGTTATAGTGGAAAAGCAGACCCACCGTCCTTCCACATCACTGGCCCTCTTGGGAGTCTGATTTTCTTTCACACAGAAGTTTTTTCCTAATTTTAATGTCGTAAGTTCTGGAAGATACTTCCCGGTTGCCTTAAATGTGCCTTTCAGTGAAGTTCTTAAGTCTGACCCAGAGTGACTGCTGTGTCATTTCTTACACCGTTCCCCCTCCCACCCAGTGCCGTCCAGACCTCCCGTGTCGGCGCGTCAGCTGGAAGCGTTAGTGTCAGTGTTGTTCTCGCTTCCGTCTGACTGTGTCTGTGTCAGTGCTTGTCGTCGGTCCTGTGAAGTGTGTGTCTGACGTTCTCTTTGGGGCGTGGGCCTGGCGCCCCGCCTCAGCCCCGCCAGTCACTAACGCTGGCTCTGCCCGCCCAGGATCTGCCACTGCGAGGGCGACGACGAGAGCCCCCTGATCACGCCCTGCCACTGCACGGGCAGCCTGCACTTCGTGCACCAGGCCTGCCTGCAGCAGTGGATCAAGAGCTCCGACACGCGCTGCTGCGAGCTCTGCAAGTACGAGTTCATCATGGAGACCAGGCTGAAGCCGCTGAGAAAGGTAGGTGGGCCCGGCGTGCGCCCAGACGTGTGCCCGGCGGCGTGTCTGCGTCTGTGAGGAGGCGTGCGCACCCTCGGGCTGCAGGGACCACGTCCCTCCCTCACCCTAACGTCTTCCTTTCCTTCCAGTCCAGGCTGCTTGCTCACCGAGTCAGTTATTTGGTCCTTGGCCGGCCTCGTGACATTTTAGTCTGCCTTTAACTTTACGTATTGGCTCTGTTCGCCTTGCCTCGGTTAGAACTGTGGGTCGGAGGTTAGGATCTCCCCTGCACAGAGCACCGCACAGCCCAGGGACCTGGTCCTGGGAGCGTGTTTTAGGAGGGGGGTGCGCTGGGGAGGCGGCAACCAAGGGCAGTGCAGGAACGGCCCTTGTCTCTTGCGCAGCCCCTCTGCCAGGGGCCTTGTCCTGCACACGCGTCCTGCAGGCATGACGTTCACCGTCTCTCCCCGTGTCCAGAGCATGAGGTTCGTTGGAACAACACGAGACTTGTCTGTATCTCAGATTTTACATGGAAGTTGAGAGGGGAGCCGCATCCTCAGGGAGCAGACAGGTAGATGCCAGTTGGACGCTAACTCACGCCGCGGTGGAGCACGCCAGCACTCGGGGAGGAAGCGTGTGCTGGGAGCTGGGGCTCCGAGGGTGGGAGCACCCAGAATGCTGGGTGTCGAAGCAGCTCCTGAGGGCCAATAGGGTTTGGAGGTGAAGTGGAAGGTGAGGTGAGCACTCGGGGGTGAGAGAGGCGTGAACTGAGTGTGTCTTAGTGAATAACAGGACATCGGGAGGAGGGCTCGGCTAGGAGAGAAGTCAGATGAAGATGGACTGCTTTGTCCCGGGAAGGTGTGTCTCCAGAAGGGGTCCGGCCAGATGCACAGTAATCTCAGGCGCCCCCAGTCCCGGCCTGCTCTGCCGGAGTCTCAGGAGGGAGTCAGGCACCCAACCAGGCTCAGGGCCCCGGCTCTGCTCTGGCCTGGCAGCATCTGAGGAGGCTGTGAGGCTGGCGAGGGCGCCCGCCTACTCCCTGTTCCCTCTCTACCTTTAAGTGCTCTCCTCTCACCCGGAAACCGGAAAACAAAAAGGAAATGTGGCTGTTTGGAGTGAATGAATGCATCCTGAGGAGATAGGACTGGCAGGGACTGCTCACACCAGGAGCTTTTAGCATCAGTTCATGCTGTGCTGCCAAAGTAGCGAGGAGCAGACGGAGTGCCTTCGGCACCACCTCCCGTGACCCATCGGCCTCTGCTTCCCTCGCCCAGCACGCCAGGGAGACTTACAGTCTGGTCGGCCCTGAAACCAGAGGGTCCCTGACCAAGCACTGCGGCTGGCCAGCTGGCAGAATAAGCAGGCGGGCTGCGGGTGGTGGCTCCCAGCTCTTCTCCACCCCAGCCTCTTGTACCAGTACCAGCACCGGGTGCTGAGGACAGCCGGGTGGTTTAGAGAGAGTGACTGGGCACTGAGGGTATGCGTGGAGCTGTGGGGAGGCAGCGCCCCAGCTCCAGTGCCCTCACCCGCAGCCTGCGTGTCTGAGCCCCGCTGTGCTGTCTCCGCAGTGGGAGAAGCTGCAGATGACGGCCAGCGAGCGCAGGAAGATCATGTGCTCCGTGACGTTCCACGTCATTGCCATCACCTGCGTGGTCTGGTCCTTGTACGTGCTCATCGACCGCACGACCGAGGAAATCAGGCAGGGGCAGGCGACAGGTACGTGCCGGGACAGAGGGGCCTGGAGAGCCCCCGGGGCTCGGGCTGAGCGAGACTCCCGGTTTCATTCCCGGTTTCCGGAAGGGCCCCCAGCTGGGAGGCAGGAGGCACCCTGTTGTGATGTGCTCTTGCTGGGAGCGGTTCTCAGGCCCGGTCAGTGGAGAGGCGGATGGGGGAGAGGATCCCATGAGCTGCCCCTGGGAGGGCAGGACAACAGGAGGGCCCCTCCCCGCCCTCTGCAGGGAGCAGGTTTGATGAGTTCGAGGCCGTGGTTGTAGAAGCTCCTGAGTTGTATTTATCCATCCAGATCCTAATTCCCGCCCGCTGAGAGCTAACGTGCTTCCCTTCCAGGCATCCTGGAGTGGCCCTTCTGGACCAAGCTGGTGGTGGTGGCCATCGGCTTCACCGGCGGCCTCCTCTTCATGTATGTTCAGTGCAAAGTGTATGTGCAATTGTGGAAGAGACTCAAGGCTTACAACAGAGTCATCTATGTGCAGAACTGCCCAGAAACAAGCAAAAAGAATGTTTATGAAAAGCCTGCCCTCTCGGAGCCCAGTTTGGGCCGTAAAGACGGGCGTGGAGTGTGCCCTTCCGACACCACCTCCAGCGGCACGGAGCCCGAGGACGCGGGAGTGGAGATCGTCCCCGTCTGAGGGAGCGCGTTTCCTGCAGTCTGCCCGCCGGCGGCCGAGGGCATGGTGCTGCCGGCACAGCCCGGCCGGCCCTGCTGTCCCTGCTCCTCGGCCTCCTGCCGAGCCTCCTGGCAGCCCCTCGCAGCAGGCCTGTGGGCGGCGGAGCGGACACCAGCGGAGCAGAATGGGTGACATGTCAGGCCTGAGGGAGGCAGGAGCAGGGTGGCGGCCCTGAGGGCTGGCAGCAGGCCCAGCGCGGAGTGTCGTCACGGAGGAGGACCCTCCTCCCGGGAGAGCCGGAGGTGCTCCCTCCCCGCTGCCTGCGTCCGCCCCAGCCGTGGCCGTGGTGCTCTGTGCGTGGTGGCCGGCGAGGCACTAAGCAAACAGCACTTTACAGAAAGAGCCTTTATTTTATGTTTCCAGTGAGATGGACATTTAAAAGAATGTCTCCTTCAGAGACCTCTCCATGACCCTGACGGCCACCTCATGTCCCAACAGATCTGAAACCCTTTCTGCCTTACGTGTCCTGAGAAACGTGACGCCTCTTCTGTGTCCATTAAAGGGACTTGTGACCATAAAGCAGGCAACAGGTCTGGCCTGTCTGTAGCATTTCAGGGAATGGATGGTTCTAATGGGACTTGAGCACAGGTCCTGAGGTTTCAGACCTGTGTTAAAAGTCTTGCAGACATTTCCTTCTTTGTCAGCACTGAAAAGAAAGGGCTTGTGGGGTCTAAATGAAAGGAAAAGTGAATAATTAAAACTGAATATTTAAAAACCATTCCTTTCCAGACAAGCCTCTCTAGCTTGTGCTGGCTTCCCATGCAGAGCAGGGTGCCGCCTGGCCGGGTGCACACCGAGGTCCGGCCCCCGGCCTCGCCAGCTCCGGCTCCAGGGGGGCTGCCAGGGCAGAGGCAGGCAGGCCGGCGGCTGGGGCCAGTGCCCGAGCGACCGAGCAGCACTGCCCCGGCTCAGTGTCCCGCCCTCAGCCACACCCAGCTGGTCGCCTTACCTGGACTGAACAGACGTGATCTTTCTGGGGCCCTGGCCCTGTGGTCAGTCTTCTGTTTTCAGGGCTGCTCTCCCTCCCGTTTTTCATACAACAAGCAAAACCAACACCACTGCCACAAATGGCTTTTGTCCCTTAGGGTCCCGTAGAGTCCTGTTTTTACAGGTCAGTGTCTGCCGGGAGGTGGCGAGGACCTCAGTGCGCCGTGGTTTGCCAGGCGCTCACTTCCCGGCGGCTCTGCCTCCCGGTGCCCGCCGCCTCGGTGAGGTGCCCAGGGCCAGCCCTAGTGCTCTGAGCCGACGCCTGGCCTGTGTGCTGAGAGGCTCCCAGATGGTCCCTCGTTCCCAGAGGAAAGCAGGCGGAGGCTGCAGGGTGTCAGCAGACTGCCCTCGGCCACCTCCTCTCCCCGGAATCCGACTCCAGGGTCTGGGCTCCGATCTGCCCAGTGGCTCTGCATGGCCTTCCTCGCCGGGGCAGCCAGGGCTGCCACACCCTGCACAGGGGCCACCTCTCCCTCTCGCTGTCTCCCAGGCCCCATCCAGCCCAGCCCGTGCTCACTGTGCCCCAAAGTGCAATTACACCCCCTCAGCCTGGGACCAGCGGACCATTCACTCAGGTTGCTGAATCCTGATCATCCCGGCTGCCTCTTGGGAGTGGCCTCGCCAAGGCCTCCCTGCCCCTCTCACAGCGGGTGAGTGTCAGGTGAAGACTGGGAAAGGTTTATAAGGGGTCCTGCCCTCTGCCCGTACGGAGACTTCCCACCGAGGGGCACATGTGCTTCAGCCTCAGCAGCTCCCGGACAGCCTCCCACCGAGGCTGCACCATGTGGCAGGCGGGGAGCAGTCCTGCGCCCCCTGGGGATGCTCTCCCCCCAACAGTTTTAAGTGAAACCTGCTGCCTTTCAGGTTCCCCAAGCCCTTCTGCTGAGGGTCTGTCCCACGTCCCCCTCCCCTCCCCTCCCCTCCCCTCCCCTCCCCTCCCCTCCCATCCCATCCCCAAGGTGCTCCCTGGCCTGTCTGCCTGCAGGTCTCCTGAGCCTCTGCCCCTCATCCCTGCTCTGCTCCTCCTGCCCGCAGGGAGCACGCCGCCTGGCAGCTGGTGCTGTGCTGCCATCTAGTGGGGACAGCGGAGCTGCCAGGTGTTCCTTCACGTGCCCTCTGCGGGTAAATACTTTGGGTTAATCCCTGGCTTCCCCTCATTCGCACCTGGCTTTGCTGGGAGGGGGCATTTGGCTGAACCGTGTAGAACAGGGTGAGCCTGCAGGCCTCGGAGCCAGGAGGGCTGGGGCCGGAGGGCCTGGCCAGTAGGAGATGGAAGGGCCCTCGGGAGTCACCAGCCAGCCTTCCCCGATGTGGCCTTTATTCCCCAAAGTCACAGCACAACTCAAGGGGTTCCGACTTCCTCAGCTGCCAGCAGTAGTTTGGGTTTTGTGCCCGCGTTTAAGAATTTTCTAAAAACTGTGAAGGCCTCTTCCTATTCCAGGCCTCTGGCATGGCCCTCTCCCGTTTTTGTTTTTTTGTTTTTTGGGTTTTTTTTACAATCCACTTTTTTCAACCGTATGGGTCTAATTCTCAAACCTCAGGTGCACCCTCCTGGCTGCGGGTGTGCAGGCGGCAGGCGGTGGGCCCTTCACGCCTTGGGCAGTCCTGACGGGCAGCTGCCGGCGGGAGGCCCGGGCCCGTGGGCAGACGCCTGTGCTGGGAGCTGGCCTGATGCAGACACCTTACCCTTTGGGTCTGACTTGAAATAGGCAGCTTCCATCTCTAGCCCTGGGAAGACCTAAATAGCTCACCGTGACCTATTTAGATGCCGGTTTCTAGATTTGACTGTTAATAAAAACCAAATTTACACTGCCATGTGCGGCCTGGTTTCTAAGAGGCACGCGGGGAGTTTGTATCTGTGTGTGTGCTCGCTGTTTCTCAGTATTACCACTTGAATAATTCTCTGGGGGCTCGTTTGTGCTGTCCACGGGGGTGACTAAATGCAGCAATAAAACATTTCTTTAAACACGTGGCCGTGAAAGTGTTTTCCTGCAAGAGGCGGCATCCTCTGGCTTTTACATGGGGCGGAAATCACTCTCGGGGGATCCTCACCTTCCCAGCGAGGGAGCGCCCGCCCCCACCCCCCGCTGGTGCTCAGCTGGGTGGGCTGGGTTCCGAGGGCGTGGGGCGTGGGGCTGCAGACAAGCAGTTCCCACGGGTGCTTGTGTGAAACACCGGGCTGCCTCTGAACTCACCACCCTGAGAAGCGGACTCGGGCAGCATGTGGCAGCATGACCCTTGGGGCAGCCAGTTGCTTAACCAGCATTATTGTTGGAACAGTTACTAAGCCACAGGCCAGCAGAGTGAGACCGGAGACCGGTGAACAGTGGGGCGGGGTGGGGGTGGGGGGCAGTGGGATCACTGGCCGTAGCTTAGCGGGGCTGCATCCCTGGCTGACGGCAGCGCCCCGATCCTCCGGTCTGGAGACGCACAGCTTTGCTCTCAGGCTCACCTGATGCCTGAGGTGAAAAGGGGGTGGCATGCTGTACGCCGGGGAACCGGGAGAATTTGTGGGCACAAGGGCACTCGGCGGGCTTCCGGGAGACGGGTCTGAGGAGGCCGCTCGGCCAAGTGTCTTCCTTCTGCCGAGAGGAGGTCCCGGACCTGGTGTCCGGAGGAGCAGGGGCCGCAGCAGCGTCGGCCGAGCCGCCAAGCCCGCTCCGTGCGCGCTGGACGAGGGAGGGGAGGGACGTGCCCTGAGCTTGTGCCCAGCTGTGGCAGGAGCAGGGAGAGGAGGTGGCGCTGGGAGGAGTCGGCCTCAGGAAGGTGAGGGGGCTGCTGGGAGGGGCCTCTGCTGTGGGGGCTGGAGGATTCAGTGAGTTTGGCTGAGGAAGCTCCCGCTGGGCTTTACTGCCAGCAGGTGGCAGACCTCCTGGCCGATCGCCCTGACCCAGCGGTGACCCATGGTGACCCAGCGGTGGGGTGAGGGCTGCCCCTGCCATCTCCAGGCACTTTCAGTTCTGTGTCATGGGTGGGGACCAATTGCAGGCCCGCCTTCTGTTGGGTAAACTAGAGGCTCAGAGCCACGTCCATTCAGTCACACATTGTATTCAGCTGCTTTCCTGCTCCAATGGCAAAGGTAAATAGCTGGCCGATCTGCCTGTGAAGCCTAAGATGCTGTGTGCATGGCCTTTACAGAACACGTGTGACGGTGCATGGTGCCCCGGAGCTGTTGGCCACAGCCCCTGCCAGAGGTGCCATGGGCCCTCCAGGGCCTGTCACTTCCCGCCTCAGAAGCTCCCGGGAAGGAGCTGAGAGGAAGGGGCGGAGGAAGAACCTGCCTTCCCGAGCTGGCAGCTCCTCCAGGATGGCAGAGCCTGCCGCTGGCCTGGGAGAGCCTGCACCCCTGCTGCTCTCTGGAGCTAAAATGCAATGAGAGCACAGAGTCCTGACTCCGCTGGCGTGACCTCTCCCCGCTGCACACCAGGTTGGAGTGGGAGCCCAGCGGTTCAGGGAGCCGCGTATGGGCTCCGCTCTGGCCCCTAAACCACCTCCCACCCTCCTGGTCAGGCAGTGTCAGGCCGTCTCGTGACAGGGGCAGACATAGAATATTGGGGACCAGCTAGAATTTTAAGAAATAGTAATCATGCTCTGTTACCCGGGATTGTTTTGTTCTGATTGAAGAAGGTACATTTTAACCTGACCGGGAGCTGCATGCAGGAACTGGGAGCTCACCTGGAAATGCAGCCCAGCCTCCCCATCCGGGAGCTGCCTAGTATCGTGGAGAGATTCACAGCCTTGTTGCAGAAACCACAGCCGCCACCCCTTTGAAGACCCCAGCCTTTTGCATACCCACAGGCCTTTGCAAATCTCCAGCCTGCAATACCTGTTAACTGCCCATTTGGCATACCTTTTGCGTACTTCCCCATGTGATCTTTGTCCTTCTCCCCAATATAAGCAGCTGGCTTATAGTGGAGGGCAGAGCTGATTTCTGTGGATCACCTGCTGCTCTCCCATACTGCCGGCAGGATTGGAATAAACGCTCATATATGACTCAGCCCTGCCTCTGCTGAATGGCGAATCCCTTGGCTGTCCAGTTACACCTGGAGACGAGCTGGTCTGGCTGTGGTCCTGGCGCTGATGCAGTAGTCTGCAGGGGTTCAAGGAGTCGGGAAAAGGCGACAAGGTTAGTTTGGTAACCGGTAACCACTGGGTCACCGCTGGGTCAGAGCGATCGGCCTGGAGGTCTGCCACCTGCTGGCAGTAACAACTCTTTCATGGGACATTCAGCCCATGAAAGAGTGGCATAGTACATGTTAAACTGTCCTGTTCTGAACTGATGCTGACAGTAGACGGAAGCTCTTGGTGGGGGTGGAGCTTTAATTGATCGGTTGGTTACTTGCTGGAAGCTAATTCCAGCAGGTCAACAATGCAAGAAGCTCATTAAAAAGTTGGTGGACCTTGAGCCTTGAGCAAGGGCTGGAAAATCACATGTTAGTGCCTGTTGGAAATGGCTGAGGGCATTTCCCCAAACCTGGAAAGGATGCATCAATGATTGCTTACTGCCAGACATCTAAGGGCATTTCAATCTACATGCTATCGCCTCCTGCTGGCCAAACACCTGAACAGCCGAAGGCAGTTTCTCCCAAACCTGTTAATTTTACCTGTATACCAAACCTTACCCTTTGATATGTATATCTGCTTCAGGGCAATTTGTGGAAATAAAAAGCTCTGGGTCCAGAGAGACAGGAGGACTTGGTTCCTTTAGCTAAGTCTCCCCTGGCTCCGCAAAATGCCTTCCAAAATGATGTTTCGTCTCTGGGCTCTTTATTAATTTACCACAGCCCTTCTCCAGGGTCTGAGCCCTTCTAGATGCTGGACAAGACCCCTGGCAGTTAGTGACTGTTGGTTCAAACTAACAAAGTTAGTCACCCAAATGTCTCTCCAGACTTCCTTTCAAAACTCCCCAATCCACGAAATCCAGTCACCTGGCAACGCTGGTCCCCGGCTCTCCTCAGCCAGGAGGGTGGGCCCTGAGGACTGGGAGTGCCCAGCGGGCTCCTCCAGGAACGCCCATAGCTTTTGTCTGATTTTCAAAGGTCTCTGCTTGCCCCCCACACTCCCCTACACTGGCAGCCACTCCAGGCTGACCCTGGGGGACATTCAGCCCATGGAAGATCTTTGGTCTGGTCTTGCCAACGGGGTGGGTTAATTACATGTTTAGCCAAATATAGCAGGCTCATTTTTAAGTTGGTAATTTTGTATGGCCTTTGAATGATGTTAGAACTTTCCAAATGGCCCTGGCAGAAAAAGGTTCCCCGCCCCTGGCCTAGATGCAATCTCAGTGATTGTAGCTTTTGTGGGGGGTGGAGGGGGAAAGAGGGAGGTGAGATGTCTGAGTTGGTTGGAATGTAGCATGTGGAAGCAGACCTGTTTTTAATGCATTTTATTTTTATGACAACCAGTTCTTTAGTTGGGCATATATTACATTGCCAGAAATGGAACTAAGCATAAACAGAACAGAAAATAGTCCCTCCATGTCTTAGCAAGAAGCGCCCATCGGTCATCCGATGGGCGGGTGCGGGGTATGAGCGAGGAGCAGGGCAGAGGCCCAGCAGCTCGCTGTGTGTAGGAGGGCCCTGCAGAGCTGCCGCGGTGATCGGAGAACGGGCTTCACTGAGACGGAACAGAAAGGAGTGAGCACCGAAGCTTAGCGACCCTGTGGCCACCGGGGCAGCTTTGGTGAAGCCAGTGAGCCTGGGCCCTGCGGGCAAATTTCCCAGGAGTCCCGGTGGGCTTGGGAGGATGCCGGGAGGCCTGCCCCGTGGCCGCCTTGGGAGCTGAGAGGCTGGAGTCTGGGTGCGAACAGCACCTGGAGCAGGCGGCCGGAGCCAGCGGCTCAGATGGCCACGCTGTTGGGGATGCGGTCCGGAGACAAGTAGTAGTAGGGCAGCTTCTTGTTCTTGTTGCGCTCGGCGATCACGCTGACGATGCCGTCCAGGTTCTTGCGGAATCGGGCCATGGCCTCCTTCACGGGTTTCTCAATGAAATGCTCCTCCGGGTACATGCCCAGGAACAGCTGAGAGCCGGACACACACACACACAGACAGACAGGTTACGCTGCCATGTGGCGATGCTAATCCACAGACCTGTCCCACGCACGGACAGCATCCCTTGGGAGCCATCCTCCGCCCGCTGCAGAGAATGCTGAGGCCGGCTTTCCCTGAGGAAGCCTGGGGAGGGGTGGGGTTAGACGGAGGCAGACCTCACTGCCCTGCCCGGTGGCTATAGGGTCTCGGGCAGGGATGTGTGGAGGCTATAGGTCCCAGCATGGCCGCGGGGTCCCGCCTGCCTGCGCTGCCCAGCACCCCACTGCCCATCTGGGCTCCAGGCAGCAGGAGCAGAGGGGCTAGTGCTGGCCCCCTCCCCTGCCAATGGTGTGCTCAACTGCACACACACACACAGAGGGGAGCTGGACACAGTAAAAACACACGGCTGGACTGTTAAAGCTAGTAAGGGCTGGAAAGGGTGGGAGAAGTCTCTCTGGCAGTTGATTGGTTTTGGATTTAGTCTGTGGAGGGCAGCTCAGTCTCAACATTCTTTGACCAAGAAGTTCCCGTTAGGAGTGTCCCCTCTGGTCCCAGTGAGCACGTGCGAAGACACGTATCCATAGACGTTAGCGAGGGACCAACACACAGCAAACGCCCTGGAGTAACCGCCCAGGGTCTGGCCTGGCAGTCACGCTGTGCAGCACCCAGCCAATGCCCGGGGTTGTCTGCTGAGTCCCCCGCTTTGGGTCTGGGCTAAGCGAGGTGCATGTGCACGGACATGTTGGGGCGACCCAGGAAACTTAGTTATTGTCTCTGGGCAGGAGAAACCCACACAGGAGAGCTTTGTCCGCAGCTGGGGTGGGGTGGGGGTGAGGGGGTGGCTTTGCGGGAAGGTCACCAGTGGCACAGAGTCCTCCCGGCTGTCCGCCCAGCCGCCCAGCTCCCTCAGGCCTCAGGCCTCAGGCCCTCATGGCCACTTCCGCCTGGAGGGAGCCCCCCGAGGCTGAGCCACACAGCCCCGCAGTTGAGGAGTGACCAGGTGACCAGGCATGCAGGGCAGGAAGTGGTGGAGGGCAGCTGCCTGCCAGGAGGGGCGCTCAGCCTCACCTCGTTTTCCTGGAACTGGCTCAGTGCCCACACGGCACCCAGGTGCCAGCAGGAGCGGCCTCGGTCTGGCAGTGTGTCCACGATCTGCTCAATGGTGACCACGCCCTTGGCCGAGGGCGGCGGGGCCCGCATGGTTGGGGGCGCGTTGGGGATCCAGGAGCACCAGTCGTACTGCAGGGAGAGCCACAGACGGCAATGCAGCCACTGCCACCATGTCTTCCGCCTCCCCCCTGTGCACCCCCCCACCCGCCCCAACAGGCACCCACCCGCCCCAACAGGGCCCGCCTCCCCTCTGTACACCCCCCCTACCCTCCCCAACAGGCACCCACCTCCCCCCTGTGCACCCCCCACCCGCCCCAACAGGCACCCACCTGCCCCAACAGGGCCCACCTCCCCCCTGTGGCACCCCCCACCCGCCCCAACAGGCACCCACCTGCCCCAACAGGGCCCACCTCCCCCCTGTGCACCCCCACCCACCCCAACAGGCACCCACCAGCCCCAACAGGGCCCGCCTCCCCTCTGTACTCCCCCCCTACCCTCCCCAACAGGCACCCACCTCCCCCCTGTGCACCCCCCACCCGCCCCAACAGGCACCCACCTGCCCCAACAGGGCCCACCTCCCCCCTGTGCACCCCCCACCCGCCCCAACAGGCACCCACCTGCCCCAACAGGGCCCAGCCTCCCCCCTGTGCACCCCCCACCCGCCCCAACAGGCACCCACCTCTCCCCTGGGCACCCACCCACCCCAACAGGCCCCGCCTCGCCCCTGTGCACCCACCCACCCCAACGGGCCTGGCAGCCAGGCTGTGGCCCCCTCGCCGCGGCTGTGCCCGCTGGGGCCCTCCGCCAAGCGGGCAGATCCCTGAGTGGGAACACCGATCTGACACCGAGGCCCCTGAGGTCCACTGCTTCCTCCAGCGGACTGGCTGGCTGGCTGGTTGGGAGACTGCAGGTCAGTACCAGTCAAGGTCAAGATGGCCTTGGCAATTCCTCCGCAGAGGGCTGGCCCTGCCTGCGCACCTGGCCGAAGTTCACCGCTGCGTGCTGGGCGGAGGCCGTGAAGATCACCACCGTCAGGTACTCGGACAGCTGCTCCCTGGTCTTGATGGACTTGGGGAAACCTGAGGCGGAGCCACGGGCCCACTAAGGCCCCACCTCCCAGCAGGGACACCCGGCCAGCAGACCCCTCCCCTTCTCCCCTCCCCCCCCCCCCCCCCCTCCCGCTGTTCCCCGCTCCCAGCCTTCCCCGGGGTCCCCACACCAGGGCTGGAGGGACCGGCTTGGGTGTCCGGTGTTTCTGACCCAGCCTATCGGGGTCGCGGAAAGCCCGGAAGTGTCCCCATGAGGCGTTCCCGGGTCCTGGGGACGGTGGCTCAGCACAGGTGCTGAGGGGATGTCACGGCCAGGGTTGCCCAAGGACACGCGGAGGAGCAGGGGGGAGCAGGGGGCAGCAGGGAGGTGCAGGGGGCAGCAGGGAGGTGCAGGGGGGAGCAGGGAGGTGCAGGGAGGTGCAGGGGGCAGCAGGGAGGAGCAGGGGGCAGCAGGGAGGAGCAGGGAGGTGCAGGGAGGAGTAGGGGGGAGTAGAGGGGAGCAGGGGGCAGCAGGGAGGAGCAGGGGGCAGCAGGGAGGAGCAGGGAGGTGCAGAGAGGAGCAGGGAGGAGCAGGGGGCAGCAGGGAGGTGCAGGGGGGAGCAGGGGGGAGCAGGGGGCAGCAGGGAGGTGCAGGGGAGAGTAGGGGGGGAGCAGGGGGCAGCAGGGAGGTGCAGGGGGGAACAGGGAGGAGCAGGGGGCAGCAGAGAGGAGCAGGGAGGTGCAGGGGGGAGCAGGGAGGTGCAGGGGGGAGCAGGGGGGAGCAGGGAGGTGCAGGGGGGAGCAGGGGGCAGCAGGGAGGAGCAGGGGGCAGCAGGGAGGTGCAGGGGGGAGCAGGGGGCAGCAGGGAGGAGCAGGGGGAGCAGGGAGGAGCAGGGGGCAGCAGGGAGGTGCAGGGGAGAGTAGGGGGGGAACAGGGGGCAGCAGGGAGGAGCAGGGAGGAGCAGGAGGGAGCAGAGAGGAGCAGGGAGGTGCAGGGGGCAGCAGGGAGGTGCAGGGGAGAGTAAGGGGGGAACAGGGGGCAGCAGGGAGGAGCAGGGAGGAGAAGGAAGGAGCAGGAGGGAGCAGGGGGGAGGACAGGGAGAGCCGGGGGTCCCTACCTGAGGCTTTCCTGCCCCGCATGCCGTACACGTACACATCCTTCACGAAGGCCTGCAGCTCCGGGTCCTCCTCCACCACCTGGTCACTCTCGTAGTAGATGCCCACCACGTCGGCCGTGAACCTGGCTCAGGGGAAGGCCCAGCTAGGAGGCTGCGGAGCGGGCCCGGGCTCCGCGGCAGGACCCCATCATGACCAGCCACTTACCCTCTCTGTCCAGGACATTAGGGTCACCCAACTCCCGCTACCCCTCCTCCATCAGTGACTGACAGCAAAGCCGTCCCTGTCCCTGAGTCAGCGTGCAGGCCCTGGCTAGGTCCATCCCACTCACGCCTACTGCTTCTCCAGACCCCCCCCTCCTCCAGGACCCCTCCTCCTCCAGGCCCCTCCTCCTCCAGACCCCCCCCTCCTCCAGGCCCCCTCCTCCTCCAGGCCCCTCCTCCTCCAGGCCCCTCCTCCTCCAGGCCCCCCCTCCTCCAGGGCCCTCCTCCTCCAGGCCCCCTCCTCCTCCAGGCCCCCTCCTCCTCCAGGCCCCCTCCTCCTCCAGGCCCCTCCTCCTCCTCCAGCCCCCTCCTCCTCCAGGCCCCTCCTCCTCCAGCCCCCTCCTCCTCCAGGCCCCTCCTCCTCCAGCCCCCTCCTCCTCCAGGCCCCCCCCTCCTCCAGGGCCCTCCTCCTCCAGGCCCCCTCCTCCTCCAGGCCCCCTCCTCCTCCAGGCCCCCTCCTCCTCCAGGCCCCCTCCTCCTCCAGGCCCTCCTCCTCCTCCAGCCCCCTCCTCCTCCAGGCCCCTCCTCCTCCAGAACCCCCCTCCTCCAGGCGCCCCCCTCCTCCAGGCCCCCTCCTCCTCCTCCAGATCCCCCCCTCCTCCAGGCCCCCTCCTCCTCCAGGCCCCTCCTCCTCCAGGCCCCCCTCCTCCTCCAGGCCCCCCTCCTCCTCCAGGGCCCCTGGAGTGGTCCAGCACACAAAGTGGCCCCACAGCCCAGCTGCACTCACGCCCTGATGGCTTCCCACACCAGGAGCCCGTCGTCGCGGTAGAAGTAGTAGGGAATGTCCTTTGTGCTGTCCATGCCCCGTGCCTTGATGGCCTCGGGGAAGCACAGGGATGTGTAGGTCAGCTCCTGCATGGCCTTCTGCACCATCTGCACATGCCCACCGCCCCCTGTGGCATTGGCCTTGAGCGGGAGGAAGAGAGTGCTGTGAGCCGAGGCCAGCAACCCCTCTCCAGCTCCGGGCCCCAGAGCACCAGGCGTAACTGCTCAGCGGAGCAGTCCAGGCACGCAGAGGGCCAACGCAGGGCCTGCGAGCCTGGGCGGGAGGATGTTTAACTCAGAGAAGCCAGGGCAGCCAGTGGGGAGGCTTGGGAGGAGCCTTTGAGTGGAAGGGGTTGATGGACTGATGGACGGACGGGTAGGAGGGTGTGGGGGCAGCTGCAGAGGGAGGGGCCGGCTCCCACTCCCAGGAGGGCAGCAGGGGCAGCCGGCAGATGGGGACACAGGCTGCCCAGAGTCCAAGGAGTGCTCTCAGGCCCAATCTGTGGCTGGGAGAAGGGGCAGAAGCCAGCCCCCAGGGCCTGCAAAGCTGTGGAGGGCTGTGCTGTGCTCAGGGGAGGGAGGGAGAGGCCTCCGGAGGGATCGCTCTCCTCCCAGAGGCTGAGATGGAGGCACACGTGTTCTCAGGCATGCACATGTATGTACACACACACACATATACGAGGCTGGGCCACAGAATCTCCCAAGGAGGGCTCGGGTTAGGGTGCCAGACATGGTCCCCAGGGTGGTTTGACCCAAGTGGGACTGGTCAGAGCTGTGGCCGTGCCATGTGGTCACTGCATGGAAGCAGGAGCGCACAGCGATGGCCCTGGCCCGGCCTGGCCATGGGCAGCCCTTGGGGGGAGCGAGGCCAGCACAGCTGAAGAGGCGGGGAGTGGAGCCAGTGTGCTTGGCCTGGGCACTCTGAGCCCCAGTCCATTTCGGTCGGAGGCTCCCGCACCCCTACATGTCCAGGTCCATGAGGCAGTACCTCTCTTCCAGCTTCTGGGTTTTGTCTTTTGCAACGCAAACTGTGGCTCAACCTTAGAGACATCTGCTGGCTCACTAATGGGAGGTGGGAAGGAGGGAGGCCCAGGGTGAGGCTGCGGATGGAGGAGAGGAAGGAGAGAATCTGCGCTTGGTAAGACCATGGGAGGTGGGGGGGTGGGGGGTCCAAACAGAGTGAGGTGCTGGCTGGGAGAATGTAAGGGACCAATAGGGACCAAGACACACTGGGGGGGAAATGGGCTGGGAGCGCTGATGGCTGGGAAGGGCAGAGGGTGGGAGGAGATGCAGGTCCCTAGTGCATAAGAGGGAGGAGAGGGTGCGGGGAGGCAGGGTCTGCACCCACTTGCCAGAGATGGGCGGGGAGGAAGGGGGACAGGGAGACACATGGGAGGAAGACCTGGTGGTGAGGCAATGCACTCGGAAAGGGAGAGCTTGCCCAGGCCAGCTGGAAGGAGCCAAGACTGGCCCAGAACCTGAGAGCCCTCTCTGCCTGCCTCCAGCCCCCAGCTGTGGGGCCGGGGGCCTGCCTCCCGAGGGGAAACCTGTGCCGGTTGGGAGAAGTGGCTGCCCGCAGCCTGGGGTCTGCTGTGTGGGGCGGGAGGGAAGCGCCCACCTTGTCAAAGAGGCCGTACTCGCAGATGAGCTGCTCCCGGGCCTTGGTGTTGATGGCGATGGTGAACCGCACATGCGCCACCAGGAGCTGGCGGGGAGCAGAGGAAGCATCAGAGGAGGCCGGGCAGGGCCCCTGGCCAGGCCTGCGCCCCGCTGGACCCCCAGGGACCCCGGCACCACTGTCCAGTGCACTGTGGAGGGTGGCAGGAGGGCTCGGACAGGAAGTGCAGGTGGGCACCCAGGCCTTCACTGCTGTGGCTGCCTGATGCGGTGATGCTCAGTAACGGGGGTGATGATGGAGGTGAGCGCAGTGATGGGGTGATGGTGGGGGTGAGCGCAGTGATGGGATGATGATGGAGGTGAGCTCAGTGATGGGGGTGATGATGGAGGTGAGCTCAGTCATGGGGATGATGATGATGGAGGTGAGCTCAGTGATGGGGATGATGAGGAAGGTGAGCTCAGTGATGGGGTGATGATGGAGGTGAGCTCAGTGATGGGGGTGATGATGGAGGTGAGCTCAGTGATGGGGGTGATGATGGAGGTGAGCTCAGTGATGGGGATGATGATGATGGAGGTGAGCTCAGTGATGGGGATGATGAGGAAGGTGAGCTCAGTGATGGGGTGATGATGGAGGTGAGCTCAGTGATGGGGGTGATGATGGAGGTGAGCTCAGTGATGGGGGTGATGATGGAGGTGAGCTCAGTGATGGGGGTGATGATGGAGGTGAGCTCAGTGATGGGGGTAATGATGGAGGTGAGCTCAGTGATGGGGATGATGATGATGGAGGTGAGCTCAGTGATGGGGATGATGAGGAAGGTGAGCTCAGTGAGGGGTGATGATGGAGGTGAGCTCAGTGATGGGGATGATGATGGAGGTGAGCTCAGTGATGGGATGATGATGGAGGTTAGCTCAGTGATGGGATGATGATGGAGGTGAGCTCAGTGACGGAGAGGATGATGGAGGTGAGCTCAGTGATGGGGAGGATGATGGAGGTGAGCTCAGTGATGGGGGTGATGATGGAGGTGAGCTCAGTGATGGGGATGATGATGGAGGTGAGCTCAGTGATGGGGAGGATGATGGAGATGAGCTCAGTGATGGGGGTGATGATGGAGGTGAGCTCAGTGATGGGGATGATGATGGAGGTGAGCTCAGTAACGGGGATGATGATGGAGGTGAGCTCAGTGATGGGGGTGATGATGGAGGTGAGCTCAGTGATGGGGTGATGATGGAGGTGAGCTCAGTGATGGGATGATGATGGAGGTGAGTTCAGTGATGGGATGATGATGGAGGTGAGCTCAGTGATGGGGGTGATGATGGAGGTGAGCTCAGTGATAGCTGTAATAATGGAGGTGAGCTCAGTGATGGGGATAATGGTGGAGGTGAGCTCAGTGATGGGGATAATGAGGAAGGCGAGCTCAGTGATGAGGATGATGAAGGAGGTGAGCTCAGTGATGGGGGTGATGAAGGAGGTGAGCTCAGTGATGGGGGTTATGATGGAGGTGAGCTCAGTGATGGGTGTAATAATGGAGGTGAGCTCAGTGATGGGGATAATGCTGGAGGTGAGCTCAGTGATGGGGATAATGAGGAAGGCGAGCTCAGTGATGAGGATGATGAAGGAGGTGAGCTCAGTGATGGGGGTGATGAAGGAGGTGAGCTCAGTGATGGGGGTGATGATGGAGGTGAGCTCAGTGATGGGTGTAATAATGGAGGTGAGCTCAGTGATGGGGATAATGGTGGAGGTGAGCTCAGTGATGGGAATAATGAGGAAGGCGAGCTCAGTGATGAGGATGATGAAGGAGGTGAGCTCAGTGATGGGGGTGATGAGGAAGGTGAGCTCAGTGATGGGGATGATGATGGAGGTGAGCTCAGTGATGGTGATGATGGAGGTGAGCGCAGTGATGGAGTGATGGTGGGGGTGAGCACAGTGATGGGGGTGATGATGGAGGTGAGCTCATGATGGGGATAATGAGGAAGGTGAGCTCAGTGATGGGGGTGATGATGGAGGTGAGCTCAGTGATGGGAGTAATGATGGAGGTGAGCTCAGTGATGAGGGTGATGATGGAGGTGAGCTCAGTGATGGGGGTGATGATGGAGGTGAGCTCAGTGATGGGGATGATGATGATGGAGGTGAGCTCAGTGATGGGGATGATGAGGAAGGTGAGCTCAGTGATGGGGATGATGATGGAGGTGAGCTCAGTGATGGGGATGATGATGGAGGTGAGCTCAGTGATGGGATGATGATGGAGGTGAGCTCAGTGATGGGGGTGATGATGGAGGTGAGCTCAGTGATGGGAGTAATGATGGAGGTGAGCTCAGTGATGGGATGATGATGGAGGTGAGCTCAGTGTAGGGTGTGATGATGGAGGTGAGCTCAGTGATGGGATGATGATGGAGATGAGCTCAGTGATTGGGGTGATTATGGAGGTGAGCTCAGTGATGGGGATGATGATGATGGAGGTGAGCTCTGTGATGGGGGTGATGATGGAGGTGAGCGCAGTGATGGGATGATGATGGAGGTGAGCTCAGTGTAGGGGGTGATGATGGAGGTGAGCTCAGTGATGGGATGATGATGGAGATGAGCTCAGTGATTGGGGTGATTATGGAGGTGAGCTCAGTGATGGGGATGATGATGGAGGTGAGCTCAGTGATGGGAGTAATGATGGAGGTGAGCTCAGTGATGGGATGATGATGGAGGTGACTCAGTGATGGGATGATGATGGAGGTGAGCTCAGTGATGGGATGATGATGGAGGTGAGCTCAGTGATGGGGGTGATGATGGAGGTGAGCTCAGTGATGGGAGTAATGATGGAGGTGAGCTCAGTGATGGGATGATGATGGAGGTGAGCTCAGTGTAGGGGATGATGATGGAGGTGAGCTCAGTGATGGCGATGATGATGGAGGTGAGCTCAGTGATGGGATGATGATGGAGGTGAGCTCAGTGATGGGGGTGATGATGGAGGTGAGCTCAGTGATAGGTGTAATAATGGAGGTGAGCTCAGTGATGGGGATAATGGTGGAGGTGAGCTCAGTGATGGGGATAATGAGGAAGGCGAGCTCAGTGATGAGGATGATGAAGGAGGTGAGCTCAGTGATGGGGGTGATGAAGGAGGTGAGCTCAGTGATGGCGATGATGATGGAGGTGAGCTCAGTGATGGGATGATGATGGAGGTGAGCTCAGTGATGGAGGTGATGAGGAAGGTGAGCTCAGTGATGGGGATGATGATGGAGGTGAGCTCAGTGATGGGGGTGATGATGGATGTGAGCTCAGTGATGGGGTGATTATGGAGGTGAGCTCAGTGATGGGGGTGATGAGGAAGGTGAGCTCTTGATGGGGATGATGGTGGAGGTGAGCTCAGTGATGGGATGATGATGGAGGTGAGCTCAGTGATGGGGGTGATGTTGGAGGTGAGCTCAGTGATGGGAGTAATGATGGAGGTGAGCTCAGTGATGGGGATGATGATGGAGGTGAGCTCAGTGATGGGATGATGATGGAGGTGAGCTCAGTGATGGGGTGATGATGGAGGTGAGCTCAGTGATGGGGTTGATGAGGAAGGTGAGCTCAGTGATGGAGATGATGGTTGAGGTGAGCTCAGTGATGGGGATGATGATGGAGGTGAGCTCAGTGATGGGATGATGATGGAGGTGAGCTCAGTGATGGGGGTGATGATGGAGGTGAGCTCAGTGATGGGAGTAATGATGTAGGTCAGCTCAGTGATGGGGATGATGATGGAGGTGATCTCAGTGATGGGAGTAATGATGGAGGTGAGCTCAGTGATGGGGATGATGATGGAGGTGAGCTCAGTGATGGGATGATGATGGAGGTGAGCTCAGTGATGGGGTGATGATGGAGGTGAGCTCAGTGATGGGGTTGATGAGGAAGGTGAGCTCAGTGATGGGGATGATGGTGGAGGTGAGCTCAGTGATGGGGATGATGATGGAGGTGAGCTCAGTGATGGGATGATGATGGAGGTGAGCTCAGTGATGGGGGTGATGATGGAGGTGAGCTCAGTGATGGGAGTAATGATGGAGGTCAGCTCAGTGATGGGGATGATGATGGAGGTTAGCTCAGTGATTGGATGATGATGGAGGTGAGCTCAGTGATTGGGGTGATGAGGAAGGTGAGCTCAGTGATGGGGGTGATGATGGAGATGAGCTCAGTGATGGGAGTAATGATGGAGGTGAGCTCAGTGATGGGGATGATGATGGAGGTTATCTCAGTGATGGGTTGATGTTGGAGGTGAGCTCAGTGATGCGGATAATGATGGAGGTGAGTTCAGTGATGTGGGTGATAATGGAGGTGAGCTCAGTGATGGGATGATGATGGAGGTGAGCTCAGTGATGTGGGTGATGATGGAGGTGAGCTCAGTGATGGGGGTGATGATGGAGGTGAGCTCAGTGATGGGATGATGATGGAGATGAGCTCATTGATTGGGGTGATTATGGAGGTGAGCTCAGTGATGGGGGTGATGATGGAGTTGAGCTCAGTGATGGGATGATGATGGAGGTGAGCTCAGTGAGGGCGTGATGATGGAGGCGAGCTCAGTGATGGAGGTGATGAGGAAGGTGAGCTCAGTGATGGGATGATGATGGAGGTGAGCTCAGTGATGGGGGTGATGAAAGAGGTGAGCTCAGTGATGGGGGTGATGAGGAAGGTGAGCTCAGTTATGGGGTGATGATGGAGGTGAGCTCAGTGATGGGGGTGATGATGGAGGTGACCTCAGTGATAGGGTGATGATGGAGGTGAGCTCAGTGATGGGGGTGATGAGGAAGGTGAGCTCAGTGATGGGATGATGATGGAGATGAGCTCAGTGATGTGATGATGATGGAGGTGAGCTCAGTGATGGAGGTGATGAGGAAGGTGAGCTCAGTGATGGGGATGATGATGGAGGTGAGCTCAGTGATGGGGGTGATGATGGATGTGAGCTCAGTGATGGGGTGATTATGGAGGTGAGCTCAGTGATGGGGGTGATGAGGAAGGTGAGCTCTTGATGGGGATGATGGTGGAGGTGAGCTCAGTGATGGGATGATGATGGAGGTGAGCTCAGTGATGGAGGTGATGAGGAAGGTGAGCTCAGTGATGGGGGTGAT